AACACACACACACACACACACACACACACACACACACACACACACACACACACACACACACACACACACACACACACACACACACACACAGCACAAAAAAGCTAGCCAGCAGGGAAAAAGCTCTAAACTCGTTTACATCTAAAAGAGCAACGTGACTCGATTAGTGTGAAGTAAGAGTCCACCGACTCTGTGGTTCAACAAAAATGTGTAACGCTACGCAACATGTAAATAAAAAGTGCAACACCTTTCATACTAAATACAAAGTTCACATTTATTTTAAAGGGTTAAAGTTTTTGAATTGATACGTTCAGCACGTTTCAGCTCTGCTCTGTGAGCTCTGGAGAACTAAGGAGGACGTTTGAAAGCAGATATTTGACGGGCACATTTCAGTTGCTCAATAGTTTGACGCCATCTTTGTCCTACTTTTTCTTTGATACTGTTCAACGGTTCAATATATCTGCATATAAAATAGACAAAGTATGCAATGCTTTTGTTAAATGTCTTGAATTAAAGGTGAAATTCTGAACTTTCTACACATTTTGATTGTTTGATTTAAACTTAGTTGTGTTGGTCTACAGAAGCAAAATGACCAAGTCCAAACACGTATGGCCTGACTGTATAAATGCACAGCAGCCCTCTGGATTTGTTTCAGGAAGGGTGTGAAAACACTGACAAATCAAACCCTTGTGAAAAGGAAGCAGCCAAAGTAGCTTTAAGTTACTTCTAAAATATTTCTGTGTTTCAGACTTTTTATTCTCTTGCTAATTATGTCTGAGCACTCAATGTCACAACCACTGTACTCCTCCAATCACAGGACTATATGAGGACTAAGATTACTTCACTTTCTATACATTTTTGGTTTTATTTATACAGCACATCAACAGTGACCTCGAGGCACTTTATACTGGAACCCAATAATAAATAACAGAAAACAGAGAAAATCTCCAAGCTCAGATGACCCCCTATGAGCAGCGGTTTCCTCCCTTTTAACAGGAAGAAACAGGCTGATGGAGGCGGAGTCATCTGGCACGACCGGCTGGGAGTAGGGGGAGGAATACACAGTAATGTAGATTTTACACCATCTACTAAAGTCCTCTGTACACCAACACAGTCAAACCTGGATCAAACAATGATGTGATGGAAGTTCAGACTTTTATCTTCAATTCAAATGTATTTACACACATCAACAGTTGCCTCAAGGCGCTTTACACTGTAAGGTACACCCTACACTAATACAAAGGAAACCCCAACAATCATATGACCCCCTATGAGCAGCACTTTGGCGACAGTGGGAAGGAAAAACTCCCTTTTAACAGGAAGAAACCTCCAGCAGAACCAGGCTCAGGGAGGGGCGGGGCCATCTGCTGTGATTGGTTGGGGTGAGAGAAGGAAGACAGGATAAAGACATGCTGTGGAAGAGAGACAGAGGTTAATAATAACCAATAATTAAGTGAAGAGTGGTGTATACACATGGTGAGGAACAAACACTCAGTGGATGATCTGAAAATCCGCTGAGTCTGTTCCCATTCTGGGAAGCCCCGGCAGCCTGGTCCAGCCTAACTATATGCTTTAGCAAAAAGGAAAGTTTGAATCTTGAAAGTAGAGATAGTGTCTGTCTCCTGAATCCAAACTGGAAGCTGGTTCCACAGAAGAGGGGCCTGAAAACTGAAGGCTCTGCCTCCCATTCTACTTTTAAATACTCTAGGAACAACAAGTAGGCCTGCAGAGCGAGAGCCAAGTGCTCTAATAGGGTGATATGGTACTACAAGGTCATTAAGATAAGATGGGGCCTGATTATTTAAGACCTTTAAGTTTCAGGGAGTTTTTAGGACTTCCTGATAATAGTGGCTCAAGAGTTGGGAGTTTGTCTTGTAATCGGAAGGTTGCCGGTTCGAGCCCCGGCTTGGACAGTCTCGGTCGTTGTGTCCTTGGGCGAGACACTTCACCCGTTGCCTACTGGTGGTGGTCAGAGGGCCCGGTGGCACCAGTGTCCAGCAGCCTCGCCTCTGTCAGTGCCCCAGGGTGGCTGTGGCTACAATGTAGCTTCATCACCAGTGTGTGAGTGTAGTGTAAAGCGCTTTGGGGTCCTTAGGGACTAAGTAAAGCGCTATACAAATACAGGCCATCTACCTTTTAGTTTCTCAGCATCATACATGTCATGTCTTAAAAATATCACTTTAAAAGCTGATGTGTATTTTATGTGTTTGTATTGAAACAAACATCTGTAGCCTGCTGCTTCTGTCTGGCAGCCTTAAACAGTTCATGCAGTACTTTTGTTAAATCCCCTAAAACCCTCTTACACTGTGTCTGCTCGCGGACCACCACAAACCAAACAAAAGCACTTTAAGTATAAAAAACAAAGAAAGAAGAACTGAATAAAGAAATGTAAAAAATATTGGACCCCATGGAGAATACAAAACACAAACTGGGAGACAGAACTGAGTGACATGGAGCGCTGATGTAAAAACACCTGAGGAGTAGAAACAGGTGAAAAGAATCGTTGGAGTCTCTGCAGCCTAAGCCTACAGCAGCATAACACATGAATGATTAGTTATACTGCTAACTATTGGCTTTAATAAGGAAAGTCATTAACCAGCCAGCAGAGTGGGTGTCGTCTCCTGAGTCCACACTGGTGGCTCTGTCCACAGCAGCCTGACAGCTACAGTTCTACCAACCTGATTCTCTAAATGTTGGGATGCTGTCTCAAACATATATAAGAACAGAATGCGATGGTTTGCAAATCTCATGACGCCATATTTTACAGAAAACTGTTAAATAAACTGTTTAAATTGAGACATTTTACTATTTCCTAAAAAATGAGCTCACTTTGATGGAAGCATGTTTTAGAAGCTCAGGAGGTACACTGTGTCATCTAATTGGAAGCTTGCTGTTCCAGTGTGCATGCCAAATATCCTGGAGCAGAATACTAACCCTAATCTATCAGAGTACAAATGTGGGTAAATGTTAGACAGAAAGCACTTAGGAAAAAGTGCTAGCTTGAGCAGGTGAATGAGGCACATTATACAAAGTCACGTGAGTGCTCAGGCAGAGCAGAAAGATGCTAAGAACCAGTGCAAAAGCTGCAACGGCAGGAACAAAGTAAGTGGTGCCACAAGAAACAGCTGGAGGAACATTTAGCAGCTAACCAGATTAACTGGCAACAGGTAAGTTACATAAGGCTGAGAGTCAGTCCTGGATGATCCTCAGGTGTAGACATCGTTCTGTCATGGACGTCTCTGTGAACACGCAGCAAACGCTCATGCAAACGAGCGACATGTGAACATGATGCAGGAAGGCTGCTGTCATCGTTTGACCACAGCTCATTAAAACTGTTCTGCAGCCCTCGTTTAAAAGTCTTCATCTATGACACTTTGATGGAAAAGCACCATCGAAGCTGGAGGGCAGATACAGCTTTTAGACCAACGTGTAGCCTAAAACAAACAGAGGGAAGCTTTCAGCAGCAAACTGTTCTACACAGCTTTGAGTTTTGGTCTCGCTTATCTTTCTTGATGCTTCTCTACAGTAAGCTGAGAGAAAACATTTGAGTGCGCGTCCTGCTCCTGTCAGCAATCAAACACTCTTCAACAACATCTCCAAACGTTCTCTGAGAAGCGTTGCTGCCATCAAACACTTTTCTTAAACTGGCACATCTTCTCACGTTTCACCTGCTTTCTGTGTTGTAAAATGTGAGTTTATGACAGTTGTTCCAAAACGTTCACGAACTTTTGGAAACTACAGGAAGCAAAGTTAGCCTGCAATGTGCTGTTCTGGGATAACGTGGTACTGTGGTATCTTTAACATATGATGGGGCCCAATCATTCAAGAACGTGTGTGATAAAAGTTCACTGTAAATGCATGTTTATGGGAGTTGCACCTCACCTTCCTCTTCTTGCTCCTTCCCTCGGCCTGCAGGGTCCGTGTGCACTGTTCAACACACTGAGAGAAGCTCACGCTGCTGTGATCTGAACTGTAGTCCAGCTCCGCGAGCTGAGCCAGAGACAGGATGTAATTGCAGGCTATACGTAGGATCGCCAGCTTGGAGAGCTTCTGCCCGTACGAGTAACACGGCACCTAGAGCACGGTCCGTGGTTGGAGGAAGGAAAAGAGAAGGAAATGATTCTCCTTTAGCCTCTTCTCGTTTGTCTAAAGTGTTGTGCTGTTTTCAAAGAGAAACATATGGACTTGTACTCTATTACTGTTGTTAGTGCATCACGTATTAGCTCATCACGTGGTACCAAAGACAAAACCACATTTTGATTAAGTCTTTAAGGAAACCATGGTTTCACACTTCCAAACCTTTTCACCATTAATGGAAGTGAGTAATATCAATCTCCACATATGACCTCACAATGCAGAGAGTGGAGCCTCCAGAGGGACAGTGATAAGTAGTGTAGTTAAGGTGTTTACGCAGCTACACTGAAACAACTGCTACACGTGTTGTAATGTACTGTGAAATAGATTCAGAGATATACACGGAGAAGCTTTACTTTACAAACTGAAGACATCAAACATATGAAGCAGGACATATGGAATCATGCAACTAAAGAAATACGTCTAAATATGTCTTATATTTGAGCCGCTTCGCTTTGTCCACAGTGCTTAGTCTTCTCTCAGTGAGCTTCATGAAACAGCCACCTGACATGATTCACCTCACAGGTGAGCCTGTCGGGGTTCACCTGTGGAGTTGGGACCATCAGGTGTGTTGGCAGCAGTCAGGTTGGTGCACAGCTGACAGCCTGTTTGACAACTGTTAGAATTCATATTATGGTCAGAACCAATCAGCTAAGTAAAGAGAATCAACATCAAGAGCTATGATGAAACTGACTCAGCAGCTCTGGGAACCCCATCAGACTGCTGGAAACCATTCCAGGCGACGACCTCGTGAAGCTCATGGAGAGGATGCAGAGTGAGCAGGAATCACAGCAAAGGCTGGATATGAGGAAGAATCTGAAATCTAAAACATGTTTGCAGAGATTTCACAGCGTTTAATGCATAACTCCACATGTGTTGATGCCTTCAGTGAGAATCTACAATGCAAACAAACAAAGTGCAAACAAAGGCTGAGGAAAACTTTAGGATGGTGGACAGACAGTCACTCATCTACCCAGGTTTTCATCCTGTCAGCGTAGGAGTCGGTGCGACAGCTTCAGAGTTTCTTTTTAGGGAGATGATGTGTGTCTCTCAGAAGATGAACCTGGCTGTCAACCAGCCATCAGAAAACATATATTTGTACATAGAGGGACATTATAAAGTGTGAGTCTGACCTGTTTCCTCAGAGCCTCGAATGCAGCACTGATGGTGTGGACACGGGTCCTCTCCCTGGCGTTTGCTAGCAGCCTCCTGGTCTGCTGGATGGCTTTGACTTCTGGAAGATGCCCAGATCCATCAGGACTCAACCCAATCTGCTTCCTCAGAGACTCCTGGTGAAACACGGGCCATGGGGTTAGGCCTGGAGTTAGCACACTATCACTGAGCTTACCCTCTAGGCTGCATTTCCTACTTACTCTGGCAGCAACCTTTGGATTGTGGACTATCTTAAACACTGACGTGCAGACGTTTTTTCCTTTTATTTGATTACTTATCAATCAATTAAATATATATTCACTTCTTCCAGGAGTCCTCTTAATCTATAAAAGGTGAGAATTTTTGTGAAATCATAAATGGCTTTTAAGTCTGACAATTTAACCCTGAGAACATGATGTGGAGAAGTTAGTCGATGACTTGATTGGCCACATTTCATTGAACAAGTTTCAGTTGATTGGATAATTAATGAGGTAATTTGCTTCAGTTCACTGAGGGTTGCAAACATTATGCACAGCTCTCCCAAGGTCCCACCACAGCATTTCACTTCAGTGTAGCTCAGGAGGTAGAGCAGGTCATCGACTGACCAACACTTTGGTGATTCAGCCCAGCCTACATGCCAAACGTCCTTGGGTAAGGTTGTAGTTGGTGGTTCACACATTGTTTCTGTATTTTGGCTTATTTTGAGGTCAGATGAAAAATACCCCTTTTGGTTTATCCGTGGCTGCATTTAAATCGTTTTAAACCAGCTAAAGACCAGAGGACTGTTTATTATTTACTGGCAATTAAAACCTTTGAATTTAAAGAGGGTGTACATTCTTTTATACACGATTATATGTGAAAGGACATATTCACCTTATGCGAAGGGACCTGTGGATCCATATGTTCGTGACACTCGGAGGACTGTGAGACTCTGGCGGCAGACTGGCCGGGAGGCGCCTCTAAGGAAAACACCTGGTGACTGGCTGAGTTGCAGGTTGATGTTGAAGGAGGGAAGATCGACTGAAGGCCCAGTTTTAGTCTGCTGGACAGAGGCTGGGAGATGGAGGTGGGCCAGTGGGAGATCTCTGGGTTAGAGAATGAGGAGGTGGGCACCTGGGAAACTTTGGAAGCATCAACAGGCACATTACTGCCAATTCTCATATCTATGGCACCACCACTCTGAGCTGCAGCCATGTCTTCTTTTAATCCTGACAGAATGCCCGTGGTACTGGCCATCGGCTCTTGTGACATCATCAGGTGTCTCTTGAGTGGAGCCAGCTTGTGGACATTATGCGACTCCATATGGGCGTCATCTACCCAGTCTGCATCAGTCACGTCAACTGTGTAGGTGTTCATCCTGTCGGGCTCGGGGCCATTGAAAAACCTTTTAGGTTCGCGGGACTTCCTCTTGAACTTCTTGTTAGTGCTAGGCACAGAGACCTGCTGTGGGTCTTTGTTATCAGGTCTGTTCCACATATTACTCAGAGGAAGGGGATTCTTCATTTTGCAACAGTTAGGGTAACAAACAGGTAACGTAAAATCGGATTTGAACACAAAAAACGGTGATATTTGGAAATGTACATGAACTACAAAATCTTAAAAGTTGTCCAGTAAATCATTTCAGTTCTTTCACTGTGTAGGAGCGAGCATCAGCTGAGCCTTCACCTCCTGGAAGAATGTGTTTCAGTACTGCACAAAAAGACTTTTGGTCCCAGTGTTTCATTCAGGAATACACCGTTAGCTTATTTCATTGCACGGACAACTGCACAATCGTGTGCATTACTTCAGTTTTACAAGCAGGTTTTCTGTGGCTCCACTCTGTCTTCATAGCAGTCTCTGAATAATCCACGTTAGTACATAAAGCTGTGTAACATCTGCTGCTCAGTACAAGTTGTCCCTCTGGATGGAGAAGTGCAGAGCTGTAAAGGTTTCTTTCTGTGAATGCAGTCCAGGCCTTCGCCTCAGAATTGGGGTTACAGTGGAACTGTCTGAGCGTGGCTCCAGTCAGTCTGCATAGCAGCACCGTGAATAACCCACACTGATACACACACTGAGCACAGATACGCTGGAGTGCAACTGCTGGACATAAAAATGAGAACAGCGCATGAAGAAAGTAGCAGCTCTTCAGGAGCACAATCACACACGCTATAAAACCACTTATTCACACTTTGCAAAGCAGCCGGGGCAGCAGACTCTCGTTAGAGTTGCAGGATTTAACGAATAACTTTACATACTCTGCGTAAGTGTCAGCATGGTACCGGACAGAGTCACACGGTAGTTTCCAAACACCTCAAACTTCCCTGAAGGAGTGTCAGCAGCAGTTGCGGTGATACCCCCGGGATCGATCCATCCCTCGGCGAACTTCTGGGCCCTTCTTAAGGAAAGCTCCGGTGAGCTGAGGTTGAAACTCGGTGCGCTGGAGGCAGTGGCGTCGATCAGTGATTTGCTCTCCCGGCGTTAAAGACTGAGAACTAGTTCACTGCCTGGACTCGCTCAGTTGTCACCGCACACATCGGCTCTGGTCCTCCGCGTCCTCCTGCTTCGCTGCACGCGAATACAACCTCGCGCTCCTCCAGCTCCAGTCGCTGGCGTCTGGCTGGCTGGAGCCCCCCTCCCCTCCGCGCGCGTGCACACGCACACACGCACGCGAGGAAGGATTTGCACATTGGTTTGTTGACGTTTTGTTTTTTAACCACAACTTCGCTGTTGTAGCAGGACATCCGCGACGAAACAGATCAACGGTGCCATACGCTGGCACGAGACTCACGAGCTGAGGCGCATGTGCTCGCTGCGAAACTTACAGTAAAAACAAATCTGCGGACGGTGTTTCAGTGTACCTGTGACTGGGATGAGACGGTTCATCTTCCCCCGTGTAACTTGCTCGGTGCCAGCATTGAGGGGTAGGGGCGCCGTGAAAAAACGTGGATACCGCAAACCATGACAGCGCTAAAAGAAATGGATCAATATTCTACTTGGGTAAGTTTTTGCAGGGGTATATGATGATAACATTATTAGATTTTTTTTTCATTGATTGGTACCAAATACAAAAAAATACGTAAACTTTTTGGAAATGTCATCTATAAAAAGTATTTTTATAACTTAAACATTTTTATTTGTAACATTAAGTATTGATAAATATTACTTAAATATTTTTTCAAACAAAGTATAGCCAACTAAAACAATCTGTCATAGGCAGTGTGCAAAATATAATAGACACCTTTCCAAAAATGCTGTTTATGTGAGTTATAATGAATTATTATTACGAACTACATGAAAAAAAATCTGTCAAGGCAAATGGCAGGACTCAAACTCAACCTGCGTTTATTTACAGAACCCCGATTCTGTACCTACAGTAGTGAGAGGAAGGGGGCGCCGGGGGATGCAGGGAAAGGGAACCAAACTCTTCTGTTCACAGAGCCGGTCACTCGTCCCAGATCAAACTCCATGCTGACGCTCCTCACAAACACACTCATCACCCAACAAGGGTCCAAAGTGAACAGCAGGAATCCGACTCAGCCGCCACCTTAAGTGGTGACCGATCAGATGAAGATGATGCGCAGCATCAGTTGATTGTCAGCAGGTACGTAGGAACCCGACAGAAGTACTGTCCAGGCAGGGAGGAGTGCAGAGAAAAGAGACACACACAATAACAAGCAGTGACAGGACACCAGAGGACTGCAGGACCAAGACAATTTCCCAAGGAACCTCCTGCAATTACACACATTTTTGGCAAAAGATTTTACTTCTTAAGAAATCAGTGGTGCTGGTTCAGTGTCAGGAGTGTGGGTCTGAGGGGATGGGAGTGGGACAGCTGCCTAAGCCAGAGATTAGATCAGTATAGGTCTTAAATAATCAGGCCCCATCTTATCTTAATGACCTTGTAGTACCATATCACCCTATTAGAGCACTTCGCTCTCGCTCTGCAGGCCTACTTGTTGTTCCTAGAGTATTTAAAAGTAGAATGGGAGGCAGAGCCTTCAGTTTTCAGGCCCCTCTTCTGTGGAACCAGCTTCCAGTTTGGATTCAGGAGACAGACACTATCTCTACTTTTAAGATCAGGCTTCAAACTTTCCTTTTTGCTAAAGCATATAGTTAGGGCTGGACCAGGTGACCCTGAATCCTCCCTTAGTTATGCTGCAATAGACGTAGGCTGCCGGGGGATTCCCATGATGCATTGAGTTTTTCCTTTCCAGTCACCTTTCTCACTCACTATGTATTAACAGACCTCTCTGCATTAAATCATATCTGTTATTAACCTCTGTCTCTCTTCCACAGCATGTCTTTATCCTGTCTTCCTTCTCTCACTCCAACCAATCACAGCAGATGGCCCCGCCCCTCCCTGAGCCTGGTTCTGCCGGAGGTTTCTTCCTGTTAAAAGGGAGTTTTTCCTTCCCACTGTCGCCAAAGTGCTGCTCATAGGGGGTCATATGATTGTTGGGTTTTTCTCTGTATCTATGAAGCGCCTTGACGCGACCTTTGTTGTGATTTGGCGCTATATAAATAAAATTGAATTGAATTGAATTATAGCATGGAAGCACGTTGGCACATAAGTGATTTAATACATATATGTATTACATTTCACATTTGTAATTGGTGCAGGCAGGTGCATGTTGGCTAAAATAACAGAAACACATTATTTTCTGTTAGAACTGAAGTAAACTAACTAATATTAAGAAAGTCAAGCAGTTTCTCTCATGTGGACTTTGGTATAAGTTTCATTTCCATCTGTCTGTCTTTCTTTTGTGAAACATCAGCTCTCAGCATCACCTTGGAGCACGTGCACCTGAAAGAAACCAAACCAGTCTTTGTTGGCAAAAACAAACCAACACTAATGCCATGAAACAAACACATTTATAAGTACCTTGTGAAGCAAACGTTGATGGTGACATGTTAATACTTTCTGTCCCTGTCAGTCATGGGACCTTAGATTCACCACTTTTCTCCCCCTTAGGGCGCTTCTGAGCAGGGGTGGGCACATGAGAAACTGGGAGGGCCACACCAGTAAGCTGAACTCTTATCTCTTTAGATCCTACAATTAACAGTACAGATGTTGCAATCAGGCAATGAAAATGTGAAATAGGCATAGTGAAAACACTAACATGAGAAACCACGACTAAGGAAAAGCAACAAGCAGAAGAGATTTGTTCGGGTCAAGAAACACGAGGAGTGGACATTAGACCATCTGTGCTTTGGTCTGATGATGTCACGGTTCTGGGTCATTGTGACCCAGCATTTTGAGTTCTTTTGTTTTGGTAATATGTTATATTATGGTTTTTGTTCTGAGTCCTTGGTTGTGCCCTTTGGATTATTGTGATTTAGCTTTCAGGTTTAGTTGTGCGCGTGTGTTTATTGTCTTGTTCCCCAGTCAGTCATGTCTCATGTAACTCTGGTTCCTGGACTCTGTGTTCCCTCTGTTCTCTGTCAGTGTTGCATCTCTGAGTCCTGTCAGTTTATTTCCTGTTTTACATTGAAGGTCTTGTCTCATGTTAGTGTATTCTGTTTTACTTCCTTGTCTTGCCCAGTTACTCCCAGCTGTGCTCTCCCTCTGTGTTTCGTTCCCTCGTTATCCTTCTGTGTATTTAAGCCTTGTCTCCGCCTCTGTTAGTTGCTGGTTCGTCTGCGTGTCTTCCTGCCGTGTGTCTCTCCAGGTTCCACGTCTCAGGTTTTTGTTCCTTGCATTATTGTTTTGTAGCTGTTCCCAGTTTAGGTTTTTGTTAGCATAGTTCCCTGCGATGCTTTGATTTGAATTTTGCCTTTCGTTATTAATAAACTTTCTCACAGCTACGTTGCCGTCCGTGCTTGGGTCCACATCCTTCATCTCCCGACAATCTGCCCTGCAGATCATGACAGATGAGTCCAAATTTGAGATCTCTGGTTCCACTGTGTCTTTGTGCCATGCAGAAAAGGTGATGGGATGGTCTCTACATGCATGGTTCCCACTGTGAAGAGTGGAGGTGATGTGAGGGGGCTTTGCTGGTGACACTGTTGAACATTTATTCAAAACTGAAGGCACACTGCACCAGCATGGCTACCACAGCATCCTGCAGCAACATGCATCCCATCTGGTTTGCATTTGGTTGGACCATCATTGATTTTTTGATTTGATTTGATATACCTTTATTAGTCCCACAAGGGGAAATTTCATAAGGCTGCCGACCTATTGCACGCAATGGCGGCGCCATCTTACCCTGCGACCATACATACATTACACAAAACATCACATGGGGAAGACAGGTCAGAGAGGTATAACAATGGAAAATGCACCACATGAGGAAAGATAAGGAGAAAAAAATAACTCCCCCCAGACTGAGCTCCAACAGTTTGAGAACAGAAAAAACACCTCTGCACATGAAACACCTCTTAATACACCAAAGAAACACATGACAAGCAACAAGGGGGGTAAAGGGTGAGAGACAGCCGAATTAGACAGCACATCCAGGCCTGCGTGCGCTGGTCTCCATGATCCACCGTCAAGGGAATAAGCGTCGAAGGCGTTTGGAAAGGGAGGGGGGATGAGTGTGTGCATATCAGTGTATATGTGTGTGTGTCCAGAGTTCAGCTGAGACAGTGTCCTTCGCCCTGCCAGGCTAAGTAAACAGTCTAACAGCCAACCCAGGTGGCCTTGCATGGAACAGGAGGAACAGACTCAACACAGTCGTTATCAGGGTGTTGTTGTTCAGCTCCAGCCTTGCAGCTGGCGCCAAAGGGGTAT